GTGATGTATTTAGCATAAGCAAAAATTTAAATAGTGTGCGTAGGAAATCAAACAAAAATTAAGTTAGTTGTGACCAAAAAAATGAAATGAGACATCGATGCAAATTTTCAATTATGTGGAATTAGACGCAGTTGAATTGTTAAAGTGTGTGGAATTTGTTTACTGGCTACATTAACTTTCGCTGGCTTTAATTAATTTTCATTCGAATTTTTTTAATCGCAAATCATTTTTTCACATGTCGCAATAATTTAATTTATGAAGTTTAAAATTTTTTTAAAATGTTTTATGAACCATTTTTAATAAATATTTTGATATGAGAAAGAATTATAAAAAATTTTTGAAAGTTTATTTCAATCAATAAATTTTTTTAGCTCTTGGCTTCTCGTTCAAATTTCTAGTTTTAATTCCGTTTTATTGGAGCAGTCTAATTTGCTTGTCGTCTAATTTCATAGCCGCCATTATTAGACCAAAGAGCATGCGTCAGTCCACTATGGAACGATTTCTAATACGGATTATATCTCAGCTTACGCGTTAGTAGCACGAAATATATCGAGCATTAATTGTACCGAATCAGCCAAAATGGCAATCTTTAAACCCCCGTAACTTTGTGCTTTTATCACAGGTAAAATATCTTCCTCAATTAGAAGTCAAGACAACAATACTTTTTTGAATGATATAAAAAATCCGTCAAAAATTGCTAATTAAAAAGTCCAAATTTGTCTAGAGAAAAAAACCACCACGAACGCAAATATTTTATCACTTCGCCCGGACAATGAGTTCGGAAGTGCAAATAACTTGAAAATCGTTTTAAAATTCTAGCTGTCAAAATGCATAAAAAGCGTTAAAATGGAAAGTAGCGCTGGATGGCCGCCGAAGTTTTCCAATGAAAAAGATTCATCCCCTGACTAATTACCTTTGGTTCCTCCCTTGGAATTTTTTTACGTCACCCATTTTTGGTCAACCAAACTTGGAAAAAAATCTAAGGATGACTTTGGGCAAGGGATAGAAGTTAGGGCGAGCACAAACATGCAGGACGCTTTTCTCTCCTCAGGGATTCTACCCCTGCCGACCCAAAGGGTCTGTGAAAAATGCAAATTCTATATTGTAAATTAACTGAGTTTAACAGCTGATTTCCAGACTCAAAGGTTAAGCAACAAAACTCAAATCACCAACGAACGTAACTAACATTGGCAGGTACTAATTAATTGTTAGCCACACCAAACACATGGCCAGTACCAATGGCGCCAATCAACACATTATATATATAGCTAAAGGTTAGAGGGAGATAATATATATATGACATTCCCTCAAAGATTATTTTTAAACAGAAGTTTAAAATATCGAAGGGATAAATGTTTGAGTTTTAGACCCACGATGGTCAGCCCTCTCCCTGGGCATAAGTTTAGGTTTTAATAGTTTTCTTTCCGCATTTCCATCAATCCAATCCATCTTCCTAGTTAGGCCGTGTCCTGCTCCTTGTCTTCCTCTCCCCTGTTTTTCCGCAATTTTAATATGCTATCAATCATGACCCCACCGAATTTTGATACTGCTGTCCGCTTTCGAGTACTTTTTCTTGATCCTGCCCCATCCGAATCTTGTGAGTCTTGACTAGAATATGAAACGAGACGTTGGCGCCGAACTCGCTCCCCTTTCTTTTTAGCCCGTTTCCCTGGCTGTGGTTCATAGTTCAATTTTGGGGCACTTTCCCCTTGTCCGGTACCCATGGTTTGGGTTTGAGTGTTTACTCCTTTGGACGCCGGTACTCCGCCTCCGTTGGAATTTCCCACAACATTTTCTATTTCGGTAGATGCCGTTGGTGCCTTCGAATTATCTCCCCGGTCATGTTCGACTGTTGTTGTATCGCTATTTTGTCCGGCGTATTTTGAAATCCTTTGTGACTCGTATTCCGAATCTGAATCAGCCTCCTCCCCATAGTCACGATCCTGTGTCCTTTCGTGCGTTCCAGCTTCGGTTGTGCTTCGTGAACTTGTCCCGCCGTTTGCCCCTCTTGTGCTCGCTTTAACTCCGCCCGTTGTTTCAGTGCACTCATTGTTGGGGGTGGTATCGTTAGTTTGTCCGAAATTTTTGGCGCATTTGGCTTGATCACCTTTCCGGCAACTCCACTTTTCCTAAGTACAGAGCCATTTGCTAAGGTTAGAGTATGCTTAGATTCGCTAACTACTTTCTGATTTACGGGTCTATACCTCTTATTGCTGTCTTTAAGCCGTTGAAACAGGAGCTCTGTCCGTTTACTCGGTTGTTTGGACTTTCCTCCCTCAGCTTGTTTGCCACCAACCATTGATGTCCCATCCGCGGCCGAAACTAGTTGCTCCTGTGCCAGCCGTCGAGGGTGGTTCATGTGTACGACGTCATAATCAATGTCCGATCGTTCCTTCCAATCGGTCGCCATGGGTTGGGGAAAATTTCTAGATCTCGGGTCAGTAGAATCTAAATAGGCAGGTTTTTGTTTCAACACTCTGCCCCAATTAAGATTTTGCAAAGTTGGTTTCTTCGTAAGATTCATGCGCTTGTACTAACATCAGTCCCAGTGCTGGCATTAGGTCCCTGCCAATAATAGACGGTCTACACCCACCAATGACATTGATATCCGCCGAGCTGGCCCATCCATTGGAGTGGAGGGTAACCTGCATTTTCCCCAGAAATTTCAACGGATTGTTACCGTAGTCGCGAAACTGGTCATCTTTCGGATCCAGAGGTTTCAAATGTACATTGCATGCTCCCAGGGTACGTTTGAGCTCCCCAATAGTGAAAATAGATATCGGCGAACCGCTATCAATCCAAGCTTGAGTTGCCTTGCCGTTGATTTTCAGGGCTAGCTTAGCCCCCGCGACTCTCAGCTCTTCTTGTTCCTTCCGCCGAATTGACATAACAACGTACTCCGTTGAACTATCCGAATCCCATCCATGTGCCGGTGCCTTGGAATCAGTTACCTATCCAACGGAACTTCCGTAGTTGGACGCACTCTCCTTCGGATAATCTTGCACAAGCCCACCGTCGGTGCCGTCCTCATTTATCATACCCACACGACCCCTGTTTGCCGATCTACGTCCTCTACAAGTCCGCTCGTAATGCCCGGTTTTCCGACAAAAATTGCAGGTTGTATTTCTTGCGGGGCACTTTGGGATATGATCAGGGGTAAAACCACTCTGATCACAATTGTAACATTTGCGATCAGCTCCTCCGCGGCCCCTCGTGCCTCCTCTGGCGAATCCACATCCACCTCGTTGAAATGGTCGACGATAACCTCCTCTGATCGCACTTATTGGCTCCGCTTTTATCTGCAGTGACCCCGCTGGTGCTGTTGTAAGTCCTCCACCAGGTACCTTATATGATTTGGCGTATTTGTCACCCCGCTCGTATGACAAAGCGATTCGGTAGACCTCATCTGGTGTCTTAGTTGAACGACATAATTCCGTTTGAGCCTCCTTATTAGACATATTTACTATAAATACATCACGCAACACACGTCGTTCCAGCGCTCCCAAATCACATCTAGCGGCTAGCCCACTCAATACGGAGTTAAACTCTTCCAATGTTTCCCCTTAACGTTGTTTTCGGGATAATAGCTGGTACGTCTCGAACGTTTCAGTTCTCTCCTTATTGAAAACACCTTCAAATTCGTCCGAAACCCGAGGATATCGAGTGGTCGCCAGATCTAAATGGGGTTTCCGGTTGTGTAATTCATCCTGTCCACGTTCCCCCAGACACAAATAAAGGTTAGAAATTAGTGTCTGCTCTGCTTCCAGACGATTTCTTCCGTTTACTTCCTGTGGCAGATCTGTGATTTGTGCCGCGGTTAACCCCCGATTAAAGTAGAATGCCGTCGGATTGAATGAATGTTTTGCTATTACGCCCCATGTAAATAGTGTAATCCAATGCTCCCACAGCATCGGTGCTTCCGTGCATTTGCTAGGCCAAAATGCCGTAATTCCAAGTGGATTTTTCCCCGTTCCCGCGCTCTGTCCTGCTTGCTGCGCCATGTGAAAAATGCAAATTCTATATCGTAAATTAACTGAGTTTAACAACTGATTTCCAGACTCAAAGGTTAAGCAACAAAACTCCAATCACCAACGAACGTAACTAACATTGGCAGGTACTGATTAATTGTTAGCCGCACCAAACACATGGCCAGTACCAATGGCGCCAATCAACACATTATAAATATAGCTAAAGGTTAGAGGATAGATAATATATATACGACAGGTCCCCCCTTTTACAATTTCCGAAATCCATTTGGCCAGAAAATTTGACCAAAATAGGGACAAAACAGTGCTTTGGGAGAGCTAAAAAAAATGCAATTTGGTTGACCTAGAAAAAAGGTCGACAAAATCCCCCCTCGAGAAAATCCTAGATCCGCCCCTGGCGTGTTAACTTTTTCGGATGTAGCTTTAACTCGAAAAAATTTAAGACTCATGTCTGTATAAAGAATCTGTTAACTTTTCTTTTGTCCAAAATTTTGAAAAATTTCGAAAAAATTTCGAAGCAACTGTGGTTACTGTTGACTGAACATACTTTGCTACTTGTACAGCCATTGGCTGGCCTCGATTTATTATATATCTTACTCGAGAAACTTATTTTTTCTTTGCTGCTTTTCTGAGTAAATTTCGTTCTTTTTAGCGACAGATAAACTTTCCTGGATTACAAGTGTTCAGTTGTCTAAGCCAGTTAATCGTTGATGTTTTAAACTCTCTTTTTCAAATTTTTGTTTCAGAATTACTTAAAATCAGGTCAAAAATCACGCAAGGCAGTTAAATTTTTCGAGAAAAAGTCTGATAATGCAGCCTTTTTTCAGTTGAATTAAGTTCGGCCGAGAAATTTAGCTTTTGTTCAAAATCAGTTTTGAGTTTTTTCAGTTCACCTGAAAAAACTAAGCTACGCTATATTTCATCCTCGAGAATGGTTGAAACAACAAATTATACGTTAAATTTAGCGCTACAATCCAATCAACCCTCGTTGAATTTAATTTTGTTTGTGTTCAGATAACTTGTGGCTGCCTAACTTAGTGCTGCTTAACAACGTGGATGGTAAGTTTGACGTGTCCTACTACAGTAGGGTGAAAGTGTCACACAAGGGGGAGTGTCTCTGGGCTCCCCCCTCCATCTACAAGAGCAGCTGCGACATCAACATCGCCCTCTTCCCATTCGACGAACAGATCTGTCCGCTCAGTAAGTAATAAATATACAATTATAGAGTAATTGGAATGCAAATCTTACAAGATTCTTGCAAAGGACTACAAAACATGCAAGGTTTTTGCAAAGGAATGCAAGTTTTTCATGAGTTTTGCAAAGGAATGCAAAGCTTGCAAGATTAGTGCAAAGTAATGAAAATCTTGCAAGATTCTTGCAAGGGAATGCAAACCTTGCAAGATTCTTGCAAAGGGATAAAAATATTGCAACATTTCTGCGCTATTTCATCTTTTGGTGTGATGAACTACCTCATCATTCTCTCCTATCATTCAGGGAGATTTTTTCTGGCATTTTTTCTTTAAAACTTAATGATAAAAACTTTTTTCGGCTTGACTGGCATCTGCTTAGATGTTGTCGGCTTATTTTTCGCATGTTTAGTGTCATCTTTTTAGTGCTATATTTTATGATAATCCTACTAAAATTAGCTCACAATTTTCCACTCACAGTCATTTTTAAAGAAAAGTTTGAAAACTGATGTAGAACAGCTTAATACAACTTTTTTATTTCTGTTTTTTTTTTCAAACATTTTGTGATTTCTGTAACGCGCGGTGCTGAAACAATTTTAATTTAGCTTTCTGTTTAGCTTAACAGTCTGAAAAAAATTGTATTACATCGATCGAATTTTTTGAATACGTGTCTGATTGGTTTGTGTGATAGATAAAAATTGGTTTAGTATTTCAACGTTTTTGGGGGCATTCAACAGTGCCAAAGTACAACAGTGCAGAAACTGAAAATATCTTTAACAGTTCCAAAAATTGATGATAATTGAACCTTTTGAGTTCTATTTGTGAATACAGAGTTCTATTGCGTTTTAATATGTGAGTTCTGTTATTGTAACTACAGTTTGTTTTGGAGCAACATCAAGAAAACCATTCCATAACTTGCTCAGTTGATTGTTTGTTCATGAAAAAATAAGACGCAGGGTTTAAGAAGCTCTTGTTGGTTCAACAGTAATCATCAATTAAAATGGCCCTTTTGTCTTTGATTAAAATGGCCACTTTGTCAGTGATTTGCGAAAGTAAAAACATTATTCAAAATAGTTTTTAGCTCTGTTGAACAACATTTAGTTTTTGGCACTGTTGTACACTTCGGTACAGATTCTGCTTTTTCCAACCCTTAGTTATTTTTTGTATGTAGTTTTTGTGGAGGTTTTTTACTCGATTAACTGACATTTGAGAAGTTAGCAATTCACATCTACAAAAAGAAATTATAATTCACTAAAAAAACTCCCAGCGAAAAAAACATCACTCAATAATTTCGTTTCTAAATTGGATGAGTTTTATCAAAAGACTCTTGAGTTCCAAATAATTTTCAAGCGATGACTATAAACATTGCTTGAAAATTTTTTGAAAATTAAAAACTTAAATGATTGTCAATTTTATGATAAAATAAACCTTGAGAAACTGAAGAGCTGTAATGCAAAACAGAAAAAAAAACAACCAACTATTGAAAAACGTTAATGAACAAAAAATCCGAAACAAAACAACAGATACTATGAGGTCAAGTTGTGTAGTTTATGAATTGTAACGGGATTCTGCAACAAAACTGCTCTGATTTTTTGTTGCTGTTTTTTTGATCGATTCAACCAATGTTTAATGTGTAAAGACTTGTTTCTGAATTCCACAGATCTACACACATCTTTGAGTTTTTTAGAAACATATGTTTCTATGAAACTAATAAGTTTTAAAAAAAAGTTATTTTTTTGCAGTTTTTACACACATTTTTCAATTGTTGGTTGGTTTTGTTACTTCTTGTGAATCACAGCTCTTGCCTAGATTCACTTTTTCGAGTTTTTTGCGTGACAACTTTTATATTTTTTCAATGTTTCCGTCTCATAAAATTTGTAAACTCAAAAACTTCTGTTATATTCAAAAACATTTCATCTGGAGAAATATTCAGTGCTTCACTTCAGATGGTGTGCTAAGTTTTTTTCATCATGTCCTAAAAATCCCAGAAAAGTGCTGCATTTCTCAAATTGAGTAAAAACTGCTGCCCAAATTTGCTTTTAGAGCAAGTCTGAAATTAAATGCAAGGCATCTTTTTGGTCCGGTTAAATTTGTTTGGCAAGGATTTTTTTTAGTTTCGGCGTACATTTTTTTTTGAATTTGTTTGTATTCACGACGCATTTTTTCATAGTATGAAATTGTATGATTGGCATTTTTTCAACGAATTGTAGTGCACAGCGAAGTTATTAAATTTCTTTCTCAAATATCATTAACCCTTTTAATTAGAGAAATAATTGGAAAGATTTATTTAAAACCTCCCATATACTACTTTTAATTTGTACCCTGTAGTCGACTTACTGCAAGCGATTTTATCGAAGCAAGTCTATCCGTATCTGTGTAAGGCCATTGTTGAATTGATGTAAAATATCACACATTATGGCTTATACTTTTTTCATTTGGGTTATACGAGCTCTTTTTTCCGGACAATAATTTAACTGTGTTCGAAAGAAGTGAATTTGATGAAAACGTGCTCCGAACTCAACTTTAATTAGCGGTTGTGGAAAGTGGAAATGTTAATCTCCTCTTTTGAACCGACTGACTGTTTTAATCACGACCAAGCACCCCGAACCCAATTGGAAGATATGAACTGAATTAAACTCCAGAAAAGACCATGGTATGCGGCAAAAAAGACGACAGCTGTTGAGACGACAATCGCTTTTGATGGACTTTAAGACGAAACTACTCACAAATTCTTAAATTACATTTCTGAGAAATATAAACCGCTTAAATTCGAACAGTTCCTTTTAATGTTTTAACGCTCATTTGACGCCTTAAAGTAATGTCGTCTTAATGCCCTGTCGTCTTGTTTACCTAACACATCCAAAAGATGAATAAATGTGAAGAGTTTATATAACTCAAATGAGTTTCTTTTGCGCGACAATTATAGATTCTAAATTGAGATATCAACGATGAGAAAAAATGGGCGACTCAAATAAATTTTTTAAATGTTATCACCTTTTTCGCCTTTTTCAACATCGATCACCTTTTTCGAAAAAAGACAAAAATTCCAAATGGTATTAAAGTTTAAAACTCCCAAATGGCTAAAATTTTCAAAATGTAATTATTTGTAGTCGGCCAATATAGTAATTAAGAAAATTGCCAAATTGTTTAAAGATTAAAACAAATTTATTTGGAAAAAAATTACAATATAACAAAAAAGAGTAGACATCATGATAGTTTTTTCAGAGATCTAGAAAACTGGAAAAAAACGGCCATGACCGTATATCAAAAAGAATAAATTAGTATCATTCGAACCTTCAACCTTATTTTATTTTCACTTGCGAGAGCAAATGACTTGTAATTGGGAACTAGACTGTTTTCCCGAAAACGATTTTTCTTACAAATACTGTCAACATACTCATTTTTGACATGCTCAAAAGCTGACATGCTCAAACTGTTGAAAATTCAAAGAAAACTACTTTCTAGTTCAAGTGGACAGTCATTATTTTTTTTTAATAAAATTTTTTTTTTAAATTACATTTTTGAATTGTGTTTTTTTATCTAATTTTTTTGGCTTTTCAAACGGTTCTTTTTCTAAGCTGAGGTTTTTTAAATTTTGATTCAAACAGTTTTTTGCTTTAGTTCAATGTTGTTTTGTAATTTATAATTTTACCAACTCTGATGTTCACCGATTTTATAACTTTTTGGTTTCTTTTTCATTAAATGATGGGTTTGGCTTATGTTGTATCGGCATAGTCAATTTATGTCGCCACGTTTCAAGAGCGATTTTAGCCATTTCAGAAGAGTGGGTTATAAAAAAAAATTAAAATCTAATTTTTATAGCTTGAATGTTTTTTATGTCCACGGTTTTGTATTCGGCTCAACGAGGGCTGATTCAAATTTTTTTCAGCTTATCCACTGCTCTCCCATTAATTTCAAGTGCTTGTTAAGGCTGTTTATTTAAACAAGGTATAAAGTTTTGTACGTATACTTTTTTAGAACTTTTCCTGGGGGTTTTTTAGTTTAATTGTAAATGAAAATTCTTTAATTTTTTTTGTTTAATATCTCGTAATGAAATGTTTCAATTGTATCGCTCGCTTGTCGAATTATGTTGCTGAAACTTATGAACAGTTTTTTTTACTGTTTAAGAGTAATCAATTGCGAAAAAAATTTACAGTTTGTTATAGCTTGATTTTCTTCTATGTACAGAGTTTTGCTTACAGCTTAACGAGGGTCGATCCAATTTTTTTTGCCTTAGTTGCCGCCAGCTCGGTCATTGTGAAGGCTTTTTGTCCCTCTTTTTTTTCTAATCAATACCTTGAAATGCAAAGTTTTAACTGTATCGTAAGTCAACTTACATTCCGAAATTTTGAAATTAAAAGTTCTTGCTGATGTTGCTTTTTTAGGAGGGATTGGCCGTAAAAAAAAGGTATACACCAGAAATTTTGCAGCTCAAATATATTTTTATGACAGTAATTTAGTTCTTGGCATAACGAGAGTCAAACCAAGTTTTTCCGCCTTACTTACCGCTTGGTCATTGATTCTAAGTACTGGTTAAGGCTTTTTATGTACATTACCTTGGAGCAAAAATGAAATTTTTGTAGATAGATTTTTTGGCTTTTTCCAAAAAAATTTTTAGCTTTATATTCTTCTTTTTTTAGTCAATAAACTGTAATGCATTGTTTAATTGTATCTCAATTCACTTTAAATTGCGCAAAATCCCATAAAAATGTTTATAATGTTTTTGTTTAATTCAGGGAGGACAGGTCCTGAAAGATTTATTCTGAAAAAATTTATAGCTTGAAAATTTTTGTCTACCGTTTAGTTTTCGGCTTAACGCCAGTCAAACCAATTTTTTTCGCCTTGTTTCTCTTCATTCATTGATCTTCAATGGTTGTCACGGCTGTTTATGAACGTCGTCCAAGACAAAGTTATGAAATTTTGTAGGTCGTTTTTTGGACCTTTTCCGGATTATTTTTTCAACTGCATTTTTTTGAAAGAAAAAAGACTTCCTTTTCTGTCGTTTCAAAATAA